AAATGTTGCTTCTGCTAATATAGAGGTGTGGGTTATGTGAAAATGTTTGAATCTACCCCAACTGGTAAGTCATTTGACAGTTCTTTACACCATTACCTTTTGTTTACAAGATGCAGGTTACTCACTCACTAGTGCAGCCAATCTGCTGGCTTTTTGTTCACTTAACTCTTTAACTCCCAGAAGTGATTCACACGTAACGTCTCCCTACAATATCCATCCACTCTCCAGCAAACAGGTAATGAGAATACTCAACTGTATCAGGTAGAAGTTTTTATCTTGATCTAACACCAAATTCTTGCAACTAATTTACAAGGAAATGTGTAACAGCTAAAGGGAGAATTAGCAATCATATCCAGAGAGTTTAAGGGTTAATGCCAAACATTTGGTCAGAGTGAGTAACATGACAGGCAGATAACAGGCTGCAAATTATCTAACCCAAAGGGTAATAGATGATGAACACTCCTTGTGGCTTCATGTTACAGAAACTACAGAAATACTTACCTTAATATTGGTCCAATAACTTTAGAAATCACGAAACACACAAACATGAGGATGACAAAGGAAAGCAACACCTCAAACAACATCACTATGGTGTTTGTAAAGTCATCTAAAAAATAACAAAAAAAAAAAAGTTTTAATTGATACATTTCCATTGCTAACAATCTGGAAACTCCAAAAACAAGCTCATCGTGTTTTATTTAAATACCACGGGAGTCCTCCAAGAGCAAAACAGGTCTGATATTTTACCTGAATTTCCACTGTCATGCCCACTGATGATGTTGTGCACTGCACTAGTGCTAGCTTTGGTATTTGCTGATTTCCCATGGCCTGCGAGTGCAGGAAGTAGTGCAACTAACAACCCCAAATGCACATCTTGCATGACAAGAATTCCTAACAGAGAACTGGTGTAGTCACCATCTCCATTAGTGTGTTCTGCATATTAAAATAACATTATTAATAATTTTAAAATCTGTTGAAGAAATTTTAAAAGTTTGCTTTAGTGTGTTTTAGGTTTAATTTTTTCCTTTTTCAAAACATAGCCACATTGGTGAACATAAATTTTTTACCCCCTTGGATTAAAAAAACCGGACACCATAAGATGTCACATGTTTAGGATGCCTTGAGGCTTGCCATGAGGCTTGCCATGAAGGCAGTGAAACAGAATTCCCAAGTGATTGGCTATACAGAGTCTGACATCTGACTTCTGACTTGCACAAACAAGCGACAAGATGAATCGCAGTAGCCTCACCATAAAATTGTTACCAAATACACTACCTTTCGAAGAAGTATCTCTATTCTTGCTATCCACAAATTTTGCCACAAGTGGTGTACTGGAAAGAGAGAGACATGCTGCTACAAATGCACTCTGCCTGGGGAGAATTCCAAAACAAATTCCCCAAAAAATACCAAAGACAATCATCAGTGCCATGATTAAAGAACTTCCACCAACTGCCACTTTCCATACCTAAAAAAATGAAATATAAATGAACAAGTATTGAAAAACAGTCAACAAGTTCATAATTTAAGGAGTCCCTAAACTAACACCTATCTGGTATTTGACATAAGCCAGATTGTTTACCATATTTAATTGAAAAGTGTCACTTTGTTCAAATGCACTAATCTCCTTTTAGTATTCAGATGTGAAGTTATATGAATGTGATCAGATTGTTACCTCTCCCCTCTCACTACTTCAGTTTACTAGTAAATAAGTACTAGGAATTTGGTCTCAGATAAAGGTAACAAGTTCTACCTGATAAGTTTGAGTATTCTCATTACCTGTTTGCTGGATAATGTGTGCATATTATGGGGAGAAGTAACATGTTAATCACTTCTAGGGGTTACAGGGATTAAGAAATTCTTCAATGTTTTACTTCCTCTACAACAAACAATACTTCAGCAACTTATAATAACTCTCATTCTATCAAATGCACAGAAAAAAAAACCAAGACAAAAAATAAAATTACTTTACCCTTTTTATTCTGTCTGGAGAAAATTCCATGCCAACTGCAAACAGAATGAAAAAGACCCCAAATTCACCGAGTGTCTCCACCTGCACAACTGTCTGTTTAAAAGAAAATATTTAATATCAGACCCCATATTGAAAATCATACTAAAAAATTAAACAGTATTTCATAAATAATCCTCCCTGGCTACTTATCAAGTTTTACTTCATTTGCATACTTTAAGTGTATCTCATTTTGCTGAAAAGTTTCAACAAGCTTTGCATCAACAAATCTAGTTGTGGCAAATTAACTTACTCTTTCATTATTTTCTTGAAGTCTCCTGTCATAATGCAGAATAACCCATTTTTCATTAAAATCAAAACTGAACATTTTACATTCTGTCAACCCAGGCAGTGTTCATAAATATAAACCCTCAATTTTCAACCTTTTGTGAAAGCAGATAGCTCTTTACATAGACAAGTTTTCTGGCCAGCAGTTTCTGTATATCATTAGCTGGAGCATATGTGTCCCTACTTGGGGGCTCACAACTCCACAGACATATTGTCTGTTTTGATTTAGGAAAACAAATTTAGTTCTTAACCCTTTAACTCCCATGAGTGACCAAGACAGAATTTTTCCTTACAATATCAATAATTATTTAACATCAAGCAGACAAGCAATGAGAATAAAGAACAATATCAGTTAGGGGATTAGTAGTTGATCCAGTACCAAATTCTTTGAACTAACATCACAAGAATTGTATAACAGACAGTAAGGAGAATTATCAATGAGATCTTGGGAGTGAAAGGGTTAAAAGAAAGATGCTTTTGTCTTGTGACTTGAATGGGACATTAAGGGGTTAAACCTCAGACCTTAAGATCCTGATGTCTCATGGTGAATCATCCCAAGCCTAAAACAAAAGAAAAAAGTTCTTTGTAAATAGAATAAGGGAGATCTCTCTTATTCTATTTACAAACATGATGCTATCAAAATCACTGATCATAGCAGCATGCAGGACATGAGTCCTATATGAACTTCGTAAAGGGACTTGCTCACCATAGAGTCTCTGTGGCTCAGAGGTAGAGTGTCACAGCACAGAATCCAAAGGTCTGAGATTTGCTTCCTCATGAGGACTCAGAATTTTCTCTTTGTCCCACAACCGCAACAAGATGAAAAACATTTTTCTCTCAGTTCTTCTTCAGTCCATTTATGAGCTTAAAAATTAACATTTGGTTTATAAAATTCACGTATTTTGTTTTTATCCTCTTTGTTATGTTTTTGTTATAGTAATATTATATTAATAATTACTAATCAAACCTTGATCATATTTAATCCAGATGGTCCTAGAAGCATACCGCTAATTACAAATGCAAACATTGTTGGCAGCTGAACCAGTGTACAAATACAGGATCCAGAGAATGACAAAACCAGTATATAGATAATATCTTTGATGAAGTGGACATCTTCATGTGGAACAGTTGCATCTTTAGCTTTGGCTAAAACAAACTGATTGCTTTGAGAATCAACAAGAATACTCATTTCATTTTCATTACCAGGCTCAGCCTCCAATGTCTCATTATCACTGTCTTGCCTTTCTTCATCCACATTCAGTCTCACAACGGCTTCAATTGATGCCCCTTTAGCATTTCTTGTTTTCTCAAACGTTTTCTCGTCAAGTTCATTTTCAAGTTTATCAGCTGCAAATGAAACATCATCTAAAATACCCTCAATAATTTTCTCCATACGTGTGCCATTGGCCTGCAAATCTGCATGTTTACTAGCAGAAAAAAATTCTTTTTCTGCTTCGCTGATTGCATTAAATTGATCTTCTTGTTGTAAAGCCAAAAGTTTGAGTGCTTCCAGTCGTTGTTTTATAGCTTCTTTCATGTGGACTACAGACTTATAATCCTCCAGTAGTAGTTTTCTCAAGCCATTAATTGCATCAAAAACTGCTCTTTCTGTAACGTTCAGCTCGTTCTTAAAGATTGTTATCGCTTTTACTTGAGCGTTCGTGAGTTCTTGACGTTTTTTCGGAATTTTACTCCCCAGTATATTACCTAACTTGTTTACCACCCTTTGCTTCGCCTTGAATAGATGGCTTACATACTGGCAAGTTGAAGGATTCCAGCGAGTGAGGTCATCTTTGGAGATAGCTGCAAAGGTGCTTCTCGCTGCGTCACCGGTAACTCTGACTGCAAGGAGTAATATCCCAAACACCGCCAAGTGATCGATGATAATACTTCTCAGCCGCATCGTACCAGATTCTTAACTTTGACTGTCCTGAGTAAGAAATCAAGCTGATGTATTTTGTTACTGAAACCTATAAAAAGCCGATATAAAGACATTCTTGAATGAATATTTCAGGTTTCCAAGACACAAATGTGTACTCTTCTGTCATCCTCATCCGCCATTTTGATTCTTACCCAGAGTTCAACTCGGGAAAGGCCTTATCCTGCAATGGTGTCTGGGATTGTATGTTTGAATTTTGGCGCGCCTGGCGAAGAAGATTGTTTTCAAAATGGAACTTGCTCTGTGATCATCGGCAAGCTAATTTTCTTGATAAATTTCTCCTTGCCAGGCCTTAGTTTTGCGAAATCAATAATGAGCGACGATGAATCAAATATTTTCAAAGCTGAAGAAGCCATCAAGTTTTTAGAAAATGGAGGTAAGCGAATGTCTAATATCTCATTTTTATTGGTATGTAATTTAAAGTGTTAATTTTTATCTTAACATCAGCTGAGTTTTGTTTCTAGATCCGAAAGTCGAGACTTCCCTAGCAGTTGAAAGGATTGAAAGTGTTGCTCATAGCGATGGTCTTCCACCTGATCAACTTGTGAATTTAGTCAAGATAGCCACTAGTGGAAAATATGGTTAGTCAGAATGATCTGAATCAGCTGGCTTGGAATAATTTGTTTACATTTCCTTGTAAAGAAGATATTATTTACGTCTGTGTTGTAGTCTATAAATAATATTTTCATCTTTCAAGGAATCATTTAACCTAGTTGGATTTGAATTTCCAAATCATCTGAAAAATTGTTCCAGATGATTTACTTTAATCCCCAAACAAAGCCAGCAGAATACAGATCAGACTTCTTCAAAGTAATTTTTGAGAAATCTGAGGTGAATGGTATAACTGTTATTACTTGTTATCATATTACTTTACCACTGAAAGAATACCTGATTGTGCAGTATCAATATTTTAAATCCATTTAATTACTAGTTGATAATAACAAAAATACTATCATGATGATTGGTTAATAATTTATACCTATTACAAATCAAAGATATGAATAAGAAAAATAAATCTGAAAAAAAAAATTTTTATTGATGATTTTAAGTTCTTACTAAGTATTTAATTTGTTTCAGATGATAGTATTTCTTCAAGACTTGTCAGATCCCTGATTCCACAGAAATCAGTTCCTAGTATAACAGTCGTGATCATAGCCTCAAGGATTTGTAATATCCATCTATCTATGAGGATAAAGGTACCAAAGAAATATGTACATTTTATGATAATAAAGTAACAATTACAGTAAATCCATGCCTTAATGGTGTAAACTTTGTGAGTTTTGGATATAATTAGGAGGGCTCTGAAGAGAGGCTAACGCTCGAAAAATCAGCTTTAAAAACTTGTCACCATGGCTAATTTACAATATTAACTCAGTTGGTAAAACCAAATTATCTTGTATTTGACACTCCACCAACAGATCACCACAGTTTCTTTAGAAACTTACTCTCTCTATTCAATCGACAGTTTGATGAACAAAAATTGGTTTTAGGTGATTTTGTAGTTTCTAACCTTTTTTATGAATAACTAGTAATGTATGCATTATTCTGACCTATCTTTTAGATTATAGACTGTTAAAATACCACTTAATATGCTATTTAGTGGACATTATTTTTGAGCTCAGTCTTTACAAGTATTTGTCCTCTAGAGTTTGTTAGTTCGATGGATTATACTCATCTTTAACTTCATTGATGATCTGAAAGATGTGCATTCTCTCTATGGAATCTTCTTCCTCCTTTTGGAAAGTGAAACTTTGGTAAGCTTCACAGAATTCTTGTACAATATAGTGCTAAGCTGATTAGTTTATAACAGCTCATTTGGCCGATTTTCTGTCCTGTTGTTCTGTATTATGAAGAGTTCTCTCTCTTCTCACTTGGGCTGCTCAGTTGTTAGATATATCCTTGCCATAGACTTAGGGCAGGTTCTCTTCAAAGAATTTAGCATCATAGTTGCGTTTTGATAGAAAGTTTACTTAGGTCCAGTCAGTATTTGATGGCAAGAACATTTTGGCTAGGAATAGCCTTTCAGCTGAAATTTGAATGGTAAATACTTTCTTTTTGTATGTTTTGTAAATATAAAAATCAGGAATGCTGAATTTGAAAAAAATGATGAGTAAAATAATTTTTAAATATAAATTTTGGTGTTTGAGGCAAAGCTAAAATGTACCTGATTCTTGCATTCTCTGATTTTGTTTCTTGATGAAACTTATTAAAAATTTATTAAATTAAAATGGACTTGTTTTCAGTGTCCTCACTTATGCCATCTCTTGTATTACCTGACAAGAAAGGAGGATGGTAAGATATGGATGATAAAACTTAATATGAATATTATGTTTAGAAAGTAGATTTCCTGTTTCGATGAAATGCAATACTTAAATTTGTCTTGGTGTACAGAGTGAAATATCTGGCTTACTATAACCACAATTGCAAGCATTTATTTTGATCTTTGTAACAAAATTGTTCAAGTAGATCAAGATAGTTTTGCCCACCTTTTACTCTAGTCTCATGTTTATATTTATTGTCTCAACACGTCTCACTGGAAAATACACTTCTTAAGTTATATAAACTGTATACTGATTCTTGAGTATGTTGATGAGACATTTTCCTACTCTAGCATGCTTTTTTGTGAAAATAGTCAATGAGAACGGTGAGAAATAGATTTGTGAAGTTCTCACCATGAATGTAAAGAATCAAAATAATTGTTTGTTACAGTGGCTGAAAGGAATTATAGCTGTCTATGGCCATTAAGTCTTGTTTTTGGAGAATAAAATGTGTGATAATTTAATACATATTAAACTAATCTTTCTTAATCTGTTTTATTAGTAAAAAGAAAATTACATGATGGCATAAGGAATGAAGATACAAACTTTAAATTCTCATTTTTAAGATCAGCATTTTACTAACCCGCTGTCCTTGTTCCCAAATAATTGTTTTACACACTAAACATAACTCATTTCAGTATCATCTTTTTAATCTATCAATGTCTTGATTAGTGAAGAATTTTAGGATCAGAAAACTGCTGGATCTACAAAATCACAGGGTGAGTTTTTCAGCATGGCATATCTGTAATAATATATAAAGTTTTTGTCATATATTTGTGAAATAACTGTGGCATATATGATATTCTGTCCTCAGATTTGAGAATATCATGTTAAATCAAACGACATCTCTCAGTTAATATTTTTATTACTTCTCATTGCCTTCCTAGACTAATCTGCTCAAAAGTGTATTAAAATATTTCATGGAGGAATTTGTAATGACTACTCTTCGGAGTAAAAAGGTTAACAATACAATGAAATTAATTATTCCTTACCAGCACAAAGACCTCATAGCTGATGTTAAAATATTAAAAGAACTGTTTTTGTTTCTTGTATTCAGGGAGTGAAGCCTTATCAGTCTGCCTTACTTTCTGTTTACAAGATACATTGTCCAAACCTTTTCACCATGACAGCAACAGCTTCAACTAAGGTATGTTTGGTTGATTTATAGAAGTTCTAAAGTTTACATGTATTTGCCCCTGTAAAGTACTTTTTAGGTGAGGGTTTTGTCTCACAATTTTTCACACATGACAACAAGATGATTGCCCACAATTCGTGTTTAGAACACTCCTACACTCATGCTTATGGAATTCACTGCATTGTCCCAAATTCTTTTCATAGAGATTATGGTTCAAGGAAACCGATGAATCCTGGAAAGAGGCAATCAAGAAAGTTCAGGTACCTAGTGAAATGTTAAAAACCTTTATTTGAAAATAAAATTGAAAGTTTTCAATCCCAGATTACGGACAAACAGACTGATCACTCTTTTCATTCGTTAAGCACCACAAACGCATACGTATTAAAGTAATCTATGTTTCCAGATCAAAAAATAGATGTGTTTGCTGAAGAAGCTAACTTCTTTGTTTTAGTGCTAACTAGCACCCGTTTGCTCCTTTTCCTTCACAGCTCAAATATAATGCAAGAAAACCAGTGGAAAGTTTTTTTCTTCCAGTGAGGACATCTAATCGTGTTGCGGTGAGTAAAGTACCTAAAACGTGGAATGTACTGTTTCTTGTTCACATCATTATTACTAACATTGAAACCTTGACTGTTGCAAACAAAAAGAATCACTCTATACTTGTTATCATTCTCCGTGTGTCTTTTTTTTCAGTATTTCTTCTGGTTTTTCTTTTCGTAAGAGAAAACTTCCGACCAATGAAAACTGAATCTTCCTACTTTATTCCTGTAAAATTTTCGTGATTTGTACTTTCAGGTGACAAAGAGACGAAAACTTCCCGGAAACATCATTCCCGAACTACAGACTACCACGATAAATGAAAAGAAAACTTCCATCGAGCAGCTCTTTTCCTTTAAGGATCTACTTGCAAACATTGAAAATATAGAGGTAAACGATCCACATTTAAAAGTCAAATAAATGCCACTGTCACCTCTGGTTTTGTAAAGACCTCACGGCGTGCAAATCCTCTCGCTACCCTATTAACATTAACTCGCCTCTGCTGCAACCGATACCAGTTTTTCAAAACCTGTTCTTTCAATTTTGTTATTAATGGTAATTGAACTTAGTGGAGTACAATTTGGGCGGAAATCATAAGCGTGATTTCAAAATCGAACGAGCGCGCAGCGCGGGTTTGATTTGAAATCACAAGTATGATTTCAGACCAAAATTGCACGACACCAGGTTCAATTACCACTTTATTACATCCATTTTGAAATCGCCCAAACACAGTACTTGGTCAGTTCAAATATTTTATTGATGCGGTACTGAGCCAGTCTGAAACTAAATTCATCCATTTTTGGAGGGGAGAAGAAAGAGTTTTGCAAACAAGAGTTGCAAAATTTGCCACATGACACTCTCTGTCTTTCAGTTTCCTGAAATTTGATCAGTTACTTTAAACAAGCCTTAAAATCTGATTGGTTGTTTTGTTTTTTGTGTAGCCTCCTCATTGGCTGGGAAAAAGATGCGATTTAAAGCAAAAATTGGTGCCATTTGTGAATAAATTGCATCAATTAGAGCCAATCAGATTACAGGGACCACCAGTGATTTCGAAATGGGTGTAATATGTACCGAAAGTTGATGCCCTCGAGCACGGATTTTAGTATTTACATAAAGAGGAGAAAAACTGAATTTTAGTTTAATCATTGCATCTTTGCGTGCCTTTTTGCAAATCTTCCCTTTCCACATTATATGTAATTTAATTCATGAAGAATCTGATGTTATTTTGTTTTGATGCCAGTTTCCAAGTCAGGTAGCCTCAGTGATCAACTCGCCGTTCCTGCAGCACGTTTTGAGCTGTAATCCAGACTTTGTCGTGTTACAAAGATTCAACTTCTGGGTCAATCATACCTTGTGCGAAGGTAATATGACAAAAGTACTCGTGAAACTACACGAACGAACTATGATCCAAAAAAATGATTATCGTTCTGTTGAGAAGTAGCAGAATTAAAAACTTAGAAGAATTTTAAAAAAGGGCTATCAGTTGTGTATGATACCTACGCCTCAGTCACTCGCTGACAATCGGCTCGTGCCCTGAGAAAGCACTGGAGAGACTCAACCCTTAAGACTGACTTCAGTGCTGGCTGTAGAAGGAACATGGAAATACAGTACCAAAGTGGAAAATCGAAGAGTGAAAGGATGTGATTCAAAATGTTTTTCTCGGCCGAAATAGCAGTGATGACGGAAACAATTAAGGAAAGATTTCTAAGAAAAGATGATCTGGACAGATGTCGCCTAAAAATAATTTTCAAAAATGTTTATAAATGAAAGAAGAGTCGTGAAAGCTTGAAACCGTACGTTTTAACAGTAGCCAGTGAGATTCCAGAATTTGTATATCGCACGAGAAATGCGTGTTTCTTAGTCATTTTTTTTAACACTTCACCTGGCAAACTAGGACTAGAGGTAAATACCAATACTTATATTTTGAATGATGAAATTATATTTTCCACAGAGTTACTTAACAGTTCAACGTCAAAATCTGATTCTTATACCTGGATGTTGTTGCAGCATTTAAACCACTTCACAGGCTTCCTCCAAGTAAGTTATAAAAAAGATTGAAATTTTTATTTTAGTCGTGATGATTCTGCCCTTCGACTGGAAACGGCGATGTCTGGTTCGTTAGATATTTATTGTATTTATTTTTTTAGATATTTATCCCCCACATTGTAGATTTTACGGAGGCAATGTTGTCTTTTCTCTAGGAATCTGTCCCGGCTGTGGAAGCTTTCTTGGTTCGATTCCTTTTTACATGGAACGGACTGGATTTCAGACCATTGATTCTTCAGCTCGTAACTCATCTTAGTATGTGGCCGTTTCAACGTGAGTCGAACATTCGTTGCACTGTCTGGGTAATGTGAGCGCTTAGTTAACTTTTTCAAATTATTTAATCAATCAGGGTGAAAGGCTCACCTGCGACTATTCCAGCGCTTTACCGCTGACAGTTGGACTTATGTCAGATGATATGGTTTCCTTCCGTTGTCACCTTGACACTCGTGCAGCCAGCTTTGTCGAAGCTTTGAGTGCTTAAGAAATTCTTAGTTCATGAAATAAAGATGTATCTGTAAATACTAACTAGGATGTTATATTTTTCAGGTTTGAATGATTTAGTTCTTGAACCGCTTAGAAAACTTTTCTTTTCATCACCAATTTACGTGAAGGTAAGAAATTCAGAAGGTTTTGTCGTTCCTCTTTTCTTTCTTGGCTTAGTCTCGCCAGATTATATTTAGGATTAACTTGTGGTCTGTTTCTTTTTAGTGTCAAGTTATTTACTGTTTTACTGAACTGCTGAGAAATTTCTTAGCGGTTGAGTTACCGCGGCAACAAGAATTACTTCAAGAGGAGCGTTCCCAAAGAGCACGTGATCTGGCTAAGTAGGTTTGACGTTTGAAATCTGTGGGAGTGGCCTGAATACTAATGACATTAAAAAAATCAAACCAGACACGTTCCTAGCCATTCTTGAGGCTGTCACGCGATGCAGCCTTGAAAGAAGAGCGTTTCGTGACATCCTAAAGGTTGGGTGCGAAAGAGATTACGGACAGTTTCTCGATCAGATTGTGCAGCCTAGTGCATAGCTCTCTGTTTTGACCATGGGCACTACTAAGCTGACTTAAGTGCACAAATTAGCGGTTCATTGGGCGCTGATCTCTTGACCATTTTCTATTCTTCTCTTCAGTGTCTCGTTGTTTGTTGAAGACGAAGTTGAGGCTTTTGATCCTCTGAAGACCATTTATGATTTCATACAGTTTGTGGATAGGGTTTGTGTTGTGGGTTTGCAGGTGAGTGAAACGACTCCATGCGACGGTGATTTGAGATTGCTTTCAAACGGAACAAGCGTGAGACAAACCCATCGCGTCACATGCCGAACTTAAGGGTTTGCATTCTCTTGAAACATTTGCTTCTTCGTTTGCTTCTTTTTAAGGTCGAAAAAGACCATGCGCTGCTGCAGCATTGGGTTTTAAACTTCTTTGAACTGGTAAGTTGTCAGTTGGTCTGTTTAAGAAAGTTTAAGAAACCACTCAACCTTGGAAGTCGGAACATGGTCGGGGTAGTCGACTCTTTGGCTGGTGTCGGGGGGAAGGGTCAGAGCTCCAGTTCGAGTCCCGCTCTTTCCAGCAGCCGGATGTAAAGTCTCTAACTCAACTTCTCGAACACCGATCGTATTTTGTTAACCTTGTTTCATTTTTTCAGGTTTCAACTTCCCATCAACAGTTTTCTTTGCCATTTGTCCTTATTCCTTCCTCTGGGATCATCTACAGAATGTTATTTTCTAGTAATTCCATGGCTTTGTCAAGATTGTGTCAAATCATCGTCAAGTAAGGGCAAATATTTGCCACTGTAGTCTCTTTAACGATTGTCTTCACCTCGTCCATTTCATTACTTTGTGTGGAAAGTTTTACCGATAAACATCCAACTTCATGGCTGTGTTCACGCTGAGCACACTTCTAACTAACTTTATTAGCATCCATGAAAGGGTATTTTGTGGCTCAATCGTCTTCTGAATGCAAAATTATTCTCAGAGTATATTCAAGCAAATGCTTAGGAAAAAAAACTTGACTTTTGGAAATCCAGGGATTGCAATTTTCACATAAATTCACTGATTTATTGACACTTAAACCTTTCAGCTTCAAGAAGGAGTTTGAATCTTTGAAGATAACACAAGGAGAGTCTCAGGTAATGGAAGGAAATTAAAAGTTAATCACGATGGTGCTTAGCTTGCAGACTATGCCACAATACTCCTATTTGTCTTCAAAATTGTGGAAAAGCGTTATCTCAGATTAAATTCCTTTTTATTTTGGTCTCTCAGGTTTCTCCTTTGGGGTTCCCCGATGGATTTCAAAGCATCCAGAGATTTAACCAGTATATCTTAGATATCTGTGACAGTTTGTGGAGAAACAAAGCTTTTATAGACAGAGACAAATCATTTTGTTTCAGCATGCCAAGGTAAAGTTGTAACATCCCAAACTCGCTGAATATCTTACCACTACTGACATACATAGGACGATTTTCGTACGCGAAAGAAGGAGACATTTCGTGCACGCGCAGAGATAGTGAGGTGTTATATAGTTTTGTAGTCTCGTTCCCCTATGTAAACGTATGTTTGGGAATTTGGATTTGGATTTGAACATAACCTCCTGTAACCCTTCCGTTGGCCAATGGGTAACGATAGCATCGGCGACGAATTAGATAAACTGAATCTTTTGTTAATTTTCTAGTGATGCTTTAAAAGGCACCTTTGATAAACAAGTCATTCATTAGCATAGGAGGTCAGTCTTTACACGGGATTAACTAACGGTGAACCAGAGATTTGAATGGTTAGTTTTGAAGATTCATTATGTACCCTGGGATGATCGACCATAATTTGTTTTCTCATCAGCTCGGTGACAGACTCCCTCGATGTGCGTCATATGAACGAGTTGTTCTCAATCCACCATCATATATCTTTGGCAGGGGAGGCCTGGAAATTTCTTCATCAGGTTAGCTTGCTGGAAATGAGTCGTTTTCATAAACATAGAAGTTATATACAGCATGATAGAAATCACAAAATAAGAGTGTGGTAAAATAGAAAAAACACTAAAAATGATGAGAATAAATTAATTAATTAATTACAAGGAAGATAAAAGATGGAGAAGTGAACACTGAACTTGAAATATTGAGACTAACTTCTTCGAGATTGACCATTCGCCACTTGATTTCCCCGATACAGAATAATGGTGATACCAAACGCAACAGAAGGGCACCAACATCTGATTTTTTTATCCACGATAAACATTTTCCTCTCCATAGTAGCTTTCCTCAGCAATATTAAAATCATTGTTGCCCTCAGAAAGGAAACCTCTCTTCATCTGCCATCGTTGTTTGGCAACAACTGATCTTTACGTAGGTCTTGTTAGCCAGCTGCTGGCTGTTACAGTTTGGATGTCAATCCTTGTTCACGGAATGCTTGATTCGAGGGGTGTTCATCAGTACGTAGATACCGCAAGTCTTGTGACAAGCATTTTGCTGTGTGCAGTGTCGGCTCTGTTAACTTTAAGTGCCATAGGAGTGAATAGACTTCTCGCCTTGACTTTGTGGCTGAGATACAGACAAATTGCGACCTTGAAGCGAACATACCGGCGCGGATGCTTAAATCTCAAGCAGACATTTCGGCATCGTTTTAACATTACCTTCTGCATGCTTCCTTCCAGACTCAGCCGACCGGGATGAAGCTCACGCCAAGTCTTATCAAGGTAAATTTTGCAGTTGCCAGTGACGTGTTTCGTTCGTTCTCTTGTTGGATGCAATTTATTTTTATTCCATATCGTTTTTGTGAAAAGCGTTATTAGCTATCGCGCAATTTAAAAGACCTTTTTATTAAGGCATTGATTCCAAAATTTTCACGTCTCACGAGGTAAACTTAATGATTTTATAAAATCAACAACTCATATAATTTCTATTTTCTGGCACTCAATCTCCAATATATTTTTGCCAAAATTGGAAAGGTTTATTTGTCAAAAAAAGTGACGGGTTTTTTGTGGGTAGCAGACTAAAGAACTTTTAAACTTGTTTGGGAAAAAAAACCGCGAAAAAAAATTCTCTAGACTTGCCTCATGAGGTTGGTTACTTTCCCCGAACTTTGAGCATCACAACCCTTTTATTTCCATAGGGACGCTCTAGACGTGCTTACATGGAGTTTTTGAGGCAGAGAAGCTTTGGTGGGATTCTGGTATTTTTGAAAACATTTATTAGACCACGTTCATGACATCAGCTCGCAGAGTGACGACGGTAGTGAAGACTACAAATACTCCAGTTTTAACGGCCCTTTTAAAAGCTGCGTGACTTCAAACAGAAACAGAAGCCAAAGAGAGTTCACAATTACATCGAGGGAGAGTTTTTCTTTACTCTTTTACTCCTGACATATCTCCTTTGAGTATTGTTGAGAAAACGATTTGAAACTATATAAGAGGTGACAGACGTCAAACATGAAATAGAAGTGTTTTGGAACCGGAATAAGCCTTATGAGTCTTCATGAAGGACTATATACCGCAGCTTATGTGCCTTACAAGTTTAAATATTCATGATTGCGCCTATTATCATGTAATATATTTTTAAGAACAAAAACGTTCGAGGTAATACACACTGCCAAGTCTGCCTATGAGACATTGTGAAAAAAAGTTTTATTGTTCATTATTTTTGGATTCTTATACCTCTCAGAAATGTATTTAACTGTACCGATATCAGCATCTTGTAAACTAGGTATGGCTAATCTTGTAACAATAACAAACAAGCAAACTGATCATTGAAAATGTGCTATTCAAGGTTCCGAAGGATGTCTAATTTCAGATTTCAAACAGGCCAAAACCATAAAATGTTCAATTAATCAGACCATCTCCAAACTTTTCATTGCAATTTGCTATTTCTAATTTCCCTTTTTTAATTGTATAAATGGGAAAGACTTAGTACCTATTTTTTAACGCAAGAAAGCGGCGCAAAAAGTTACAAGAAAGTTATAACTCGTCTCTTTCAAAATGCAAAACCTGGAATTGCTTCAGAATATTTTTGCGTTTCTCAAATTCATCTGCCTTATTAGGGTGCAATGGACCGGCGATCAAGCGTTCCAATCGATCAATTTCCTCGCTTATGATACCAGCTCCGTAACCCATTACGCGAGTCATAACAGACATGTAAAAATGAGCCTCGGTTTGGAACTTGTGCTTAAGGGCTTTTATTTTAGCTTCTCTCAATATTTCTTCTCGCCTTTTGTGGTCCTTCATAAACTGCACGGCTATTTCGTTGAAGTCATCCAAAAGGCCAGCCTGTTTAAACAGCAAATTTCAATAAACTCCATGCCGCTCCCGATGGCTAACACTATTAATGGCGTATAGTAATTTAAGTTAAGAAGTTGGGTTGATCGAGGGTGGGACTAACATTTTCGTTTTCAAGTAGATGCGCGTTAAGTTTTCCAGCGAATTATCAATTTTCAAGTAAAATAAATTTGCCTCTTTTAGTCCTATATCCCATTTCATAATTTTATTCTTGAATTTCTGACACTTTTTTTAAGTATAGCCACAAATTTTCAGTCCAAGGAATTAATGAGTCTCATTCTTGCCAGGTAAATAAACCTTTCTCAAACAACACCATATATATCTTTCGTCTGTTCTCAGTGAAAGCTAAAAATCACTGTGGTTTTGATTACTATTTCATTATAAGAAACCTATGTTATTTCGATCATTCATACGACCTCCCTAACTGCCTTTATTTAGGGGACCCAAGAAGACTTGCGCGACCACGAAGCAAAGTCCCTTGCGATTAAAGAAATTCTACAATCCTAACTTCTCTTTATTTTGCATCAATTGGCAAGAGGGCATGGTCTCTCTGGACAGCGGGTTAATGCAAAAATTGCTTGCAATGACACTAAACGAGCTTCGTAGCGGCTGTAAAATTTACCTTAATTTCAACTGCTTTAAAAACTTACCTTTTCGTTCAGTCGTCCTTTCAGCCTCCTTTGAGTTCCACACAAGGCATTCATAAAGGAAGTTATGTTTGTCTCGCTGTAGCTTTCCTGGTAGGTCCCAGGCTCGTAAATGATCCCGTCCTTGTTATGCTGGGAATATACTTTGAAAGTCGGGTAATGCGGAATTGTTTGTTGCACACAAATCTGAGGCTCCGCGTCGCAATCAAGTCGGCCAATCAGGCACTTCGGCTCGTTTCTAAACGTGACACCAACATCGTGAATCGTGTTTTGTAAAGTCTTGCACAGTTCACAGTTGCCGTTATAGTAAAGGACCATGATGCTCCGCGCCCTGTCTTTGACAATTCTTTCAAAATTTGAAGAGCTCAGATCGATGACTGGTGTTTGGAAGATGTCTGTGTTTAGATGAAGGACGGATTTGGACCGTATAAAACGAATCATATCGGCAGGAAGATTACCATTATTATAACTGAAAAAAAAAACCAGAAAGTCAGATCATTAGGCTCTGATGTTTGCTAAAAGTCACATTTATTGTTAGAATATAATAGACATAAACTTCGATAAATGTCAAGTAAGGATCCCTTTGGATTCCAACGAAATTGGTACGCTTTCCGCAGAGTTATAATTCGTGAGTAGTGTTTATTACCATTTCTAACTATATCACAGTTGTCTTATTTCCAAGTTATGGCAGCAAAATGTGACCTCTTAGGACGATGTTAAAAAAAACAACAAAAAAAGCGTCTTCTTTAAAATTTCTTTGTACCTCGGACCTAGCTGCAGATTTTATTCTTTGTCCGCCTTAGCGCAATGTTTGGCGTAATACTTTAAAGACATTTTGTAATAAATCGAACAAAACACTGCATCTACTTACGTTTCTTCAGTTATGCTTCCTTTTATGAAGTAACGAAACGCAGGGTATTCATCCACCCAGTACCGTGTGGCCAGTTTAATTTCTTCATAAGCATTTACTTTGGCGATAACCACATCCTCACGGCTTGAAAATGTATCTCCAACCTCTTCATACCGTTCTAACAGCCTCACGCATTGCTCGTGCCAAGGAGCGTAGAAAAACACGAACACAAATTTTTTCCCGTCAACGACCTGGTCAAAATTAGTGAGAGTGAGTTCCTTGACGAATGAATCCTCCTTTGCTGAAGTTAGCACAGTGTTCAAGAAGACGATTGCGAGAAGATTAAGTCGTATAAACATTTTCTGATGCGACGATTTTGAGTCGATGAGTTTCTTCAGTAAAATACTGCTGTGGCCGTTCAGAGCGAAGATTTTTTCAGTGTTTAATTCCTGTGACACAGCTGTTACCTTTCTTCTTTTCAGAAACTGTGACGATATAGCAGAGAAAACGAGAAATCAAGTGATTCAGTCGATTTGTTGTCCAGAAATGGACCAATAATCTCAAACTAAGTCGTACTTGTTTACTGTAAAAGGTTTTGTATCTTTGTAGGATTACGTGTTACTCTGAGAAAAAGAAGAATTTGTCCACTAAGAAAACCACATGTGTAGATCCTGATTACCAATTTATTACAATACTGCAAAACAGCTGATTAAATACGCGATAGAGTTTGTTGTCACGTCGCCCTGAACGACACGTCATTGTTCACATTTATATGAAATCATGATTCTGAAATTCCTCATGGCTTTCCGCTCACTTTTTTCTTACAACTGCTACTGATGAAGTTTTTGTTTTTTTTTTCCTTTTTCGTAGACTGTCGTTTTGATTTAACCAATTTTACGCTTTCTCCTGATAACTTTAAAGAAGTTCTGTCTATAAGTTACTTTGATCTCTAATAAAAGGCTTTGGAAGGAATGATTTTAAAATTTTCCTCAAATGGCTATTTTGCTGATGAACTGAAGTTCTCAAATTAGCCTCCATTCATTTACTGCATTCTTAAATCCGTTGTGATAAATGTAAATCAGTGTTTACGACCACTGTACTTGCCGGCAAACATCAGCCTGAGACTTAGCGATGTAACAATTAGCACAACTTCTTGTTTTTCCAATCTTTGCGATGAAGAAGAAAATATTTCAAAGTAAACCTCACTTAAAGACTAAAAGAAGCAATTTTCCCTAGAAATGTTCGTACTTTTAAAATGGTATAATCTTCCCCTTCCTTCGCAGTTCGTCTCGTTTTGAAATATTCCATTTATCTCGTACCGCTAAAGCAAATTTCGGATCTGACGATTCACCAACTGATTCATTAATATTCCAGCTGTATTGATTCAACAGGCAACTTTGTCTCTTAAAGATTTTATTTCCATCTTACCATTTTAAAATATTAGTAGTCAGCAAAAAATCAAGAAACAGACTTAAAATTCAAGCGTGTTTCTTCCTTTCGCCCGGATCACTGAAACAACAGAAGCCTTCGCCAGTATGTACCAGACCCCTACAATTAACCAACCATTACGCGGTTATAATCCTTTTCCTGCCCATCCAGTGTACGGAGAATTCCCCGCGGACATTTGTTGCCCATATTGCCAGACTAGAGTGTTTACTGTTACCACAAAAGAGGATGGAAATCTAACTTACTGTGCAGCCAGTTTGCTGTGTTTTATGGGGTGAGAAATGAGCTTTAGATCTTTCAAATGAAGGCAAAGCAGAATCTGTGCTTGAAAACTTTAGACTGCTCACCTCAAGTTTGTTATTTGCAATCTTCACCCTCCTTAACTATCTTCATTCATTTGTCTAGCCTAACTCATTATGATCATTATTTGAATTCATCCTTTTAAAGCACTTTAATATAACCTAAAGTGATTAAATGTATCAAGCACGACATATAGTGCCAATTGACCTTTTCACTCCTGATCTAAAGATCAATTCTCCATTCTAACTGCCATACATTCCTTACAATTTCAACTTCAAGAATTTGGTGTTTAATCAAATAGATTCCTTCCTAAGTCTTCTTACTGACTCTGAATATTATTCTTTGATCGCTAAAGGTGTTGGTTTGGCTGCTGCCTCATTCCTTTTTGCATTGACTCTTGTAAAGACATCATTCACACATGTCCCAACTGCAGAGCACCTGTGGGGAAATTCAACAGGCTTTGTTGAACCATAGAGAAGACTGGATCAAACCTCAAAATAAAGAAATGACAACTCCGCATGATGTTTATTGCCACTGAAAAAACCATAATGATTTTGGTGTAATTTTGATATAGTTCCCTCTTGATAATTAAAATATGCACATTTTGTAATCAAATATAGTTTGCTTTCAAAGGCACGAGGTAGAGCAGTTGACAGTCTGCAGGGATTTTTTCAAATGTGTATTTCTTATAGAAATACACATTTGCTAATGGGATAAATTGCCAAACCAAAAAGGAGTTGAATGTGTGTTTCCTAAAAACAACCAAGTTATTTTTATCTTCCTTTCATCTGGATACAATTCAATATCAAAATTAATACAGCTTATATTTATGGAGCAAGTTTATTTGTGAAATTTTTGCATTTTATGCGCCACATCCTTTTGATATGCTTACAACTTTTTATTGCTAGCAACATGGTTATACAGGTAGCTTTCCACAAATATATTACCTATGATAAATAAATGTTGTCAAGCCTTTCCTAATCAGTCAGAGAAAATAAAGCCATTCTGACAAATGCCTGTAAGGCCAGATAAACCTTCTTGTCCACCAACTGATGACTTCAAGATGAAAATGTGTCATTTCGCTTAGCAACTGCCTGGTTTGATACTGTTGGCTCAACAATATTCAGAGAGGATATCCATACTTGGTCTTGTTATTTTTCAAAAGAAACTCAGTTGAAAACATCGTCATGATTGAGGTATGTATCAGATACATTGACAGGCAGGCCTCTTTTCAGTTTGGCTTTTGTTTTCACTCTTTCTTGCTCTTCTTTAGCCAGTTGCTCATCTCTTTGTAATTCAAGAATATCAGGTACTGACACTTCCTCCAGTTCAGACTGAGCTTCTTTTTCTTCATCCTTTTATAACAAAAAATAAATGCACAGCACACATTCAGCTAGTCTCTATTGCAGCTATTGTTTGATCTTGTCAAGCAACACACTCTTTTTCTCTCTCTTGGTGGGCGAGAGTGCGCCTTGGGTGACAAGGTCAAATAACAGCTACAAAGGGGACTTAAATTTAGTAAACTGTTCAGATTTTGACAGAAAAAATAACATCTGACAAAATATTTTGGACAAACATCGAACAGTAAATGGCGTTTGTTTAAAGAGGTTAATACTAAAATTAGACAGCCAGTTAGGCAGGAATATAATTTCAATAAATACAGTTTTTTATTGCGGGAATTCTGTGTTGATTGCCAAATTTGTTTTGTTGTACTTTGTAATAAAGATGTGAGAAGCTAGCTGGGTGCATTTGTCGGAGTAAATGAGAAGAAATATCACATCTACATTCTTGAAGAGTTGTTAATCAACTTCAGCTACAAAACACAGCAAGAAAAAAGCACATTGAGCAGAAAAAAGCAAACAAATTTATTTCTTCCCTCAACTCAATCAAGATTTTCCCTATGCATTTTGAAGAGGAGAAACCTAAGTTAAGTTCCTACTTTAAATACCTGAAATCTGTAAGACTATAACAGCAAATATTAGTAAATTTGTACTGGTTACCCCTCTTCTCTGATCCAATTATTTTTTTTGTTAACAACTTGTAAATTAACTTCACTCTTCACTTGAAGTGACTCACTATTTCTCCAGCTAGAACCATGTTTTCTCCTCTTACAAGAAATATGCCTCTAGGAATATCCCCATACTTTCCTCCAACATGAATTCTTTCAATGGTGTCTTGAAGTAAAAGGTTGGCTGTAAAATTATCATTGTATAAGACACATTAGAACCTGCTTCCCGGTGACTTCAATTGAGACAAAATCACACTGATCACAAATTTAAAACATTATTTTAGAAGTGAGAGCTAAGGCTTCCACATTAAAACATCTCGTGCTTTAGATTTCCTAACTTATCTCTTACATCACTGTTTCATTGGATTATTAAAATCTAACACAAAAATTATCATTATCCCTTCCCTCTGTGGAAGAATTGCCATTTCAGTGGTAGATTCACATGTTAACATCTTCCTACACCTCAATACCTTCTCCTAGTAGCACTGGTACAATAACATGGGAATCTACCATGTAAAAGAGCTTTCTTTATACCAAAAGTTACTACACAAAAAAATATCAACAGAACTGTCTACTATAACAGCTATCACACCCTGATTACAACCACAGCCTTGCCTGAAGAAGCACTATTGTTTATACCATTTTTAAAACACTCCATATGCAAACATCAAAGGTATTTCTGCTTAAAGAAAATAAGTATGATAACAATATAAATTTCACTGTTGCCAGTACACTCACCAAATTGATCTATGGACCTCAAATATCCAATGAGTGTTCTTCCATCCCTCAGCACAACCAAAAGTCTTTCTGTTCAAAAGTTGCAGTGTTAGTTTAAAGAGAGAAGTTTGTGTTTGTCCCTTTAGTACATGCCAGAGAATCTTAGGAAATTCCACATGTGTAAACGAAAAACGTAAACTTGGAAAAATTTTGGGAATAGTAAACTGAAATTCTGATAAAAATTAATAGTGCAAACTTTTAGTGTATGAAAGTACAAGCAATAAATTTGTTGATATTGTGAAGAATTGAGAACATGGAGACAAAAATTAAGTACAACAGATTGAATAAAAACAGCCTAGTATAAAAGAGGGGAAATAAAAAAAACACGAATATCGTACTATCTATTTCTTTGATGAGACTTGCTGTCCCAGGAAGGAAGCTCATAACTGAGATGTATCGAAGGATTCCAGCTGAACTCACGACGCGGAAACGGACTAACTTTTGTCAGGCGTCTCAATACACGGAAGGACTGGTGTCCATTGTAGCTATCACTCCAAATATGGTGACCTATCACGCGCTCTACGTTGACAAACGCGTGACAGGCAGCAACACGTGAAGATTGATCACCTGATATCTGACACCTGTTTGTGTACAAACCGCCACTTCCGTCCGGATCAAAATACAAAATTTTCTGTTGAGAGTGCATTTGACCAAAGTTCAAACTCCAGCAGAGAGAGAAAGATCGATTATATGCTTCATAAAGGGAAATTTCCTCACGAGAAGAAACACTTTCGCTTGTCTTTACTAGTAAGATGGCCACAAGACAAAGAAAGAAGATGGATTTCTCGTTCTCCTTTTCCTTTTTCGAGGAGCCGCTTCAAATTGGAGTTGTTTTTATGATGACCGGGTTGTTCATCTTTGGACACACGATAGGAATACTCCTCTCGTTTTACGTTCTCCTTACCCCCGTCTACGGCTTCATGGTCATTTATTTGTTCTGGACTTATTTCTTTGATTTGAAAACATCCTCGAAAGGAGGAAGAAGGTCCGAGACATTTCGCAAGCTGAAAAGCTGGGAGTATTTTCGAGACTACTTTCCCGCACGACTTGTAAGAACAAAGCGGCTGGATCCAAGAAGGAACTACATTCTCGGATACCATCCTCATGGAATCATGTGTTGCGGAGCTTGGATTAATTTTGCTACAGAAGCCACTGGATTCAGTAGACTTTTTCCGGGCATAAAATCACATCTTCTCACTCTAACTTGTAAGTAACACGAAACTTAACCACTTTTTTCTTGATAGTGTGACAGGTTCTCGTGCTTCTTGCCGGATTTCGTGCCTCTTGCCTGATTTTCCTAAGCCTAGGAAATTATTAACCAACAAAACAGACAGGCAAAGAGCACGAAGAATAACGCTCAAGTTAAACTCCGAAGCTTTATTGATTCAGCAGATATACTCAAAATTTGAGAGGGGAACTACTTTTGACCACTTCGGGGCAAAGAAATTCCACCTTGATCTGTACCTATTTCAAGAGTCATGTTTCTCAGCTCGCCAAATTCAACAAGATTGTAATGACACTGCCATCAAAACTTAAGTTGCAACGCAACCAAAATGTGTAACTTCGTGCTATCCATTCCTTGCTGTCTATATTTGGTATTAACCTCACAAAATACGCCGTAAGAGGTAATGAGATTAACCTTTGAAAGGGAAATCCCATATTCGCATACGAAGTGTTATTTTAGTGTTCAAGTTACATGCATCTTACATAACCTCGTTTTCTCTTTTTTCTCTATTTCAACAATGGATTGGACGATAGCATAGTTTAGCTTTGCTGTCGGTGAATTCGTTAAAAGCAAAGTTTATTGATGAGAATACCGCCTCACGTCTCCAAAAGGAAATGTTAGTTTTTTAATTTGCGAGACCACACAGTGACTGTCATCAGATGAAAGCGTGTCAGTGTTATAAGAACCTACTTATATCATGTTGCATAAGTCTATCCCTCTAGTGTTTCTCTTACCAAATTGCATCACGTTTGCACCAATGTTTACATTTTCATAAATTTTGTGTAATTTTTTTTTCAGTGATGTTCAAATTTCCACTGTGGAGAGACTTTGTAATGGCAGGTGGAGTGTGTGATGTCTCCAAAGAAAGTATTCGTCATATAGTGACTAAGCAGGGGACTGGGAATGCTGCAGTGATTGTGATTGGTGGAGCAGCAGAATCTCTTGATGCCCGTCCAGGATCTTACACTCTGACCCTAAGAAACCGGAAAGGATTTGCAAAGTTGGCTTTGCAGACAGGGTAAGCGGATGTGAAAAATGGACTTAAGTTTTATTCACTTAGATCCACATACCATGCAGCACATTTCATTTAAGGCTTGCTAAAATGAAATGCACATGTCAGTGATAAATGATAAAATTAAATTTCTGTGGTAGACCTCAAAAAACTTAAAAATAGTTTCTTCCACTCAAATTCAGCATAGACTGTCTTGGTATGATTGATAATGTCCAGTCATACAGTGGCATGCTCTATTTTTGTAGTTTCTGATTGTATAAGTTAAATCAAAAAATGAAAAACAACATTTGCAAAACCCTGAAACTGATATTAGAGTCTCAAAAGATTTTACCACTAGTAGGAGAAAACTTGGACAGTTTGGGTTAAGATGGAAAGTGGTGGTGTATTTGTTGTTGTTTTGGAGGTGTCAATATTAACACAAAACAAAGCCTACCTTAATTTTTAGAATTTTGTAGAAAAAATACAAAGTTCTTCACTCTGATTCAATGTTAGCAAATCTCAGAGTACAAAAGGGCAAGGATTGATTATAGGACTTTGGAAAGAGGTCAACCCAATTGAGAAACAAAATGTGCTAGGAATAAGGAGAAATTCCTTGAGTGGATTGGGGGGTGGATGTACAAGCAATGTGTCAACATCTCTTTGGTTCCATATTTATATTTTCCATTATTTTTTTTCCTTTTTCAGAGCATATCTTGTTCCTGTGTTTTCCTTTGGTGAAAATGAAATATATAATCAAGTTGACAACCCAAGAGGTTCAAGACTGCGAGCTTTTCAAAACAAGTTGATGAAAATACTGTCCTTTGCACCACCACTGTTTTTTGGAAGAGGAATCTCGCGTATCTTGCCCACATTTCTGCCATACAAAAGACCAATATGTACTGTTGGTAAGTGTGAATTATTAATTTCTGACAAAACACAAAGATAGTTAGATAGATGTCTGAATTTGGGCTGAAATAGACTTGAGTAGTCAATAGTATGTTTCAAAGTTAATTTACATGTCAATTGAATTTTGGGGCATTTTAAGAAACAAAATGAGAAAAATAATTAAGAACTTCTTACTGTATAGGCTTGATAACAGCTTGCACCCACCCCCCTCCCCATCTCCTCCCCTCTTCTCATGGAGACTGGACTTGAGAGAGCTGTGGTAACCAAGCCTCAGGATACTGGAAGTTCATTCAAGAAATGACAAAACTGATAACTTCCTGTTCCAGTCTTCAGTGATGTAAAAATCCACCAGGAGGCCCCTAATTTTAAGCTAAAATATAATTTTGAAAATACATAATTATTGAGCTTAAGTACGTATATATGAAACAGTAAAGTTTAAGAAGTTACTTTTTTAATTTCATATTTGATTTTTTTTGCAGTTGGTGCACCAATACCAGTAAAGAAAGCTGTAGCAAATCCAAGTGGACAACAAATAAACAGACTTCACAAGAAATATGTTCAGGGACTTATTAACCTTTTTGACCAGCAGAAGCACAGATATGGCCTGCCAAGAAGTGTTAAACTGCGAATTGTCTAGATGAGATTGTGAAGCAGCTTATTATGAGCAGAGAGCTCTATTTACTCTTAAATCAAATGATGTAAAATAAGATATACCAGACTCAATGTTCTCTAAGTAATGTACTCAGTCATCTATTACTTTTACATGTTAGTTCCCAAATGATCTTGGAGATGTGGTGTATGAGTCCAGGATATCAACATAGTTGTGTTTTCTGTGGTGATGATTTGACTTCTGTGCTTGAATAAGAATTATGAACACTTTTTCACACAGTATCCTGAAGGAAGGCCATGATCACATTTAATTTGATATTCAACCTAGAAGTTGATGGATATATTGTAACCCAGTGTTCTAAAGATATTTGTTTGCCTTTCATGAAATTTATATGGAAGAGTGAAATAAAATTTACCAGGGAAGTGAAACTCAACTCAAAATTAGAGTTATGAATTTTTGTAAGGGAGAAACCTGTAATCAGTTTTGTCCCTTTCTGGGCATATAAGCCATTAAAATACATTGGATCTCATTTTATTATTTAAAAAAAATATATTTGATTTTTATAACAGAAAATTTATCAAAAAAGTTTCTAAAACACTATTTTTACTTTTGATTATAAGAAGAGTGATCATTAATATAACTATTTTCTATCATAGAGTCATATTTGTGTTATAAGTTTATTTATATTTGTTCAAGAAAATAAAAAAAGGGTTAACAACACAGCGATTACGTAATCTTTGTCTCTCCATTTCTGAATAAGAACATTTTCCTGTTCAATGATAGGACGGTATCTTCCATGATAGCGGCAGAAAACTTAGTCCTTCTTCCCGTCTCATGAAAAGTCTTGTTTCCAGTACTCGCTCATTTTGAATGGCACAATACGCCTGCCGCTTAAACATCAACTTTTTTTCTTCCTTTGAATTGGGAGGCCGACAACAAATCTAAGGACATTTGGTAGATGATTGCACCGCACCGAGGAGATGGAATTTGAAATTTGACCTTCGATTATGGTGTGATATTGCATGTGGACTGTAGACGTCAACCTTCTCCTAATCAGGATAGAAAACCACGTGCTCAAAGTCAAGTTTGATCAAGGTTAGCAGTGAAACGTGATACAGATAGGAAGCACGCTAAGACCTTTGCATGTTTATAGTCGTGTGTTATTATAGAATTGGCGTATTCTTTGAACTCTGAACAAAGATCGGGACAGGAAAATAAGATCTGAATAAGATCTGAAGATACAAAATTTTCTTCCGCTGCGATCAACGCACCGACAATACCTGCAAGTCACATACTCCCCAAGGAATTAACGATGCCTTACGTTGAATTCGCTCCGCTTCGCATCCCTTTCCACCGACGTTTGGAAACTGCAGCTGTTGCTCTGTATTATTACTCTTTTTATTTCGGTGCACTCTTAGGAACAGTAATCATCCTTGGCCTGTTTTTTACGTCATATTACCCGATTGCAATAATTTATTTAACTTGGGCCTATCTGATCGATGGACGCACTCCCGACCACGGTGGACGGCGATCAGAATTCGTAAGAAAAGCGCGAGTGTGGAAATATTTCAGAGATTATTTTCCGATCAAGCTGATTAAAACGACCGAACTGGATCCAAGCAAAAACTATGTATTTGGCTACCATCCTCATGGAGTTCTATGCGCGGGTGCATTTTGTAATTTTGCCACCGAAGCTACGGATTTCAGCAATACCTTTCCTGGAATAATACCACATTTATTACCACTAATGGGTGAGTGAATCACAAAAAAATCATTGCTCAGTAGCCTAGAAAAATCCCTCTCTCGTGACCGTGCTTTAAAATATCACGCAAATAATTTTGCGTTGATGCTTGCGTGACTAACATAATGCCAATGTCACGTTAAAATTTTCAAACTGCGTTAAAAATCTGACAGCGAAACAATTGCTTCATTTGACATCTTTATTTTGTATTTTGCTAACAAAATGAAGAACCACCGTAACGTGATGCTGTTTTTTGTTTTTATTGTTGTTGCTTTTTTTTTTCACTGAAGCTTTGTTCAAACCACCGTTATTTCGAGACTACATTATGAGCAGTGGTATGTGCAACGTCACTCGTGAGAGCTGTGAGTATATTCTCACAAAGAAAGGGCCTGGTAACTCAGTGGTGATTGTCGTGGGTGGGGCTGAGGAAGCATTTGATGCCCATCCAGACACTTACACCATAATCCTGAAACCCAGAAAAGGATTTATCAAGCTTGCATTGAGAACTGGGTAAGTGTAGGAAAAGATTTCTGTTTGACCCATTCTCCGTTAACCCTTTAACTCCCAGATCAAATTTGTAATTCTCCTTTCTGTCAACCATAAAGTTCTTATAATGTTAGTTCAGAGAATTTAGTATGGGATCAACTAATTATCACCATCTCATCACTTATCTAGTGTATAATGTAATGATATTGTAGGGAGAAATTCTGTCTTGGTCACTCATGGGAGTTAAAAGGGTTAAACATACTTTGTCTATTCACTGCTAAATACCAACTTTAGCCAAAATAATGATTACCTTCAAGACTGAGGCTTTCTCTTAGAAGAGTATGGGGTTATAGTGAAAACTTTCACGGAGTAGTTTTAATAGTTTTACACTAGATTCAAGATATTATCGATTGTGATTAATTAGTTTTCGCAATTATTTCTTCCTAATTACCTTGAAAAAAAACCCTTTATTTTATACCTTCTCCCTCCTGCACCAAAAGAATACCAGCTTTTTAGGTTTTCCACAACTTGACTTGCCACTACCTTCTCATTTCTGCTCATCATACTTTCCCAAAGTATTTCTAGTTTTCCTAAAAATAGGATTTCCACATCTACCTCAAAGTGAGAGCAAAAACCAAAGTTAGCTAGACCTTAGTGCTCACTCACTCACTTGTTTTGTCATCTTCTAAAAGGACTTTCCTTTCTGTATTTTTTAGTGCCTCTCTTGTTCCAGTATTTGCTTTTGGAGAAAATGATCTTTTCAATCAAGTGAAGAACCCTCGTGGTTCCTGGCTACGAGATATTCAACAAAAAATTCAGAAAAAAGTTGCATTTGCCCCTGTGCTTTTTTTTGGTCGGGGTATTTTCCAGTACACGTTCGGATTTCTGCCTCACAGGAGACCAGTCAATGTTGTTGGTAAGTCCTTAGTTCCAAAACAGTATCTAGGGATCATGATTTTCCTTTTTTTATGAAGCAATAGGGACTGATAACAATGATAGGGAGTGTTTCATGCTCTGTTTACTTGCAAAAATCCCATTTTTGGGTTTGAAAAATTGAGCCTCATACAAATTTGGACCACTAAATCATCAATAAAGAGATGCCAGCCCTTTGGAAATAAAAATTTTCAAGATGTTTGATTTTGAATCACAGATTCCCAACCCTACCTCCACTGGCCCCACCTCATACCTCCCTGCAAGAGATTTTCACAGACCTCCTTGTCCCCTTTCCTTAAATGGAGATCATTGAAATAGATGCATTTAATCCAAAATGCCAAGCAAAAATTTTCTTATTTAAAACCATCCTAGAAAGATTACCTTTTGAAGGCAATAAATTAAATGATTTTTTAAGTTTACAGATAAATAGACAAATTTGATTTCGATGGGAGGTTAACTGAGCTGTATAGAGACAGGGATATTTATCATGTATCCAGGAGACACTATACAATCCATGAGAGTTGACAAATACATAACAATGCCATTTAACCCTTAACACTCTGGTCCACTCTAAGATCAGTATGTACATTCTCCATTGTGTTCTCTATACATTCCATAACATGTCTTTCCATTTGGTAATCAATCAGTACAGAATCATCATCTTTCTCCATTATACATATAGATCTTGAAAATATCTTAACCCTTTAACTCCCACATCAAATTTGTAATTATCCTTACTGTCAACCATACAACTCTTACAATGTTAGTTTGGCGAATTTAGTATTGGATTAACTAATTATTCCCAAATTGACATTTTTCTTTATTCCCAACACTTGTTTGGTTGATACCGTATTGATATTGTAAGAGAAATTCTTTCTTGGTCACTCATGGTTAAGGTTAATTTCTGACATTTATTCTGGCCTTTTTTTTTTTTTTGTAGTTGGAACTCCTATTCCAGTTACAAGAGTTGCAAACCCAACTTCTGATCAGCTGGATGATCTCCACTCCATTTACATTGAAAAACTTAAGCAGTTGTTTGAAGAAAACAAAACTATGTATAATGTTCCTGAATCAACTGAGCTGATAATTTGTTGAGATTATTTACATTAAGAGAAATGTTTGATTGAGTAATGTACTAACTAATCCAGGATTGCAAAGGTTGAGGGGTAAAGAAATCTCTCTTGACCTCCGCCTAACCTATCAGATGCAAAACTAAAACTAATCAAGGTGAGTCACTTAACTTAAGGCCACTAAAATGTATTTAATTTGAATTTTTATGAACACCTTAAGAAAATGCCTTTCTTTTGATAGGCTATTTCCATGACTAGTTTCTCGGGATAATGACATTCAATCAAAACAATGGTATGCATTGAATATTTATCCATACAACACATTCTATATTATAACAAAGTTTCATTAGTTTCTTAGTTTTGACATGGCATAACACAGAGATCCTTAGATCACGAGCTGATCAAAGATTCTGGTTTGGTCATTAGCTTGTACTCAGACTCCACTGATTCTTTCTCATCAAGTTTGACACAAATTGTTAAAAAGTTTTTAACCCATTAACTCCCGTGAGTGACCAAGACAGAATTTCTCCTTACAATATCAATACAATATCAAGCAGACAGGTGATGAGAATGGAGAAAAATATCAATTGGGGGATTATAAGTTGATCCAATATCAATTTCTCCAAACTAACACCACAAGAACTGTATGACAGACAGTAAGGAGAATTAGCATTGAGATCTTGGGAGTTAAAGGGTTAAAGGATTCAAAGAGTTTTTGATAAAAGACATCACTGAAGTTTTGAACAAAATTTAGGGGGGGGGGGCATTCTCCTTTAATTCCCAGCTGTCATTTGGGCCCGTCACGCAATGCTTTTCCGGTGGGGAACAGAGCTTGTTGCGTGACAAGTTCACAACTGCTGGAATGAACGGTGGATCTGCTATAAAACTTCGGGATTTGTCTATTCACTTCAGCTGTTTTATATTGTGGGATAAGTCTGGGACATACCTGTATTCACTGTTTTTTGCAAGAAACTCAAAGTGATCGTTTACGTAGAGTATTGGTAACTCGTTACGCATGATCCAGGACACCTCATTGGAGTGACATCCCTATAGGTAGAAAGCTTAGAAACAAACGGGTAAACGGCAAAAATTGAACTTTTGTACCTCCATCTGTTTTCGCGCTTAACCGTGAATATTTCCTTGTGTCAGTGAGAGATTTTACCAAATTTTCAATCGAATTGATTACAAAGTTGAGCAAAATTGGCTTTTGATATTATAGAAAACGTCGTGGTCAATTCGCCGAATGCTATAAAAATATATCTGTACCCCCTTTTTCAACAATTTTAGCTTTTCAGACCGACGTATGGTTTACTTAGTAGGCACCAGACAAGAAGGGGGCGCCCGAGGCGATCAGGGGCTCAATCGCGCGTTTTTTCTCTCCAACGCGCTCCTTGGAAACCGCACTTTTGTTACACTAGCGCCTGCTACTCAGGCTGATTTTTGTTGCACTTTTTACATATTTTTAGGAACCTTATTTATAATAGAAGACAAGCTAATGTAGAAGTGAAGAATTTTACAGAGGTTACCCAATTGAATTTGTTCCAGGTTTTTTAAGTACATTTTTTAGCTTTCGAGCCGGTCACTGATACTTACCAAGAGATTATTTAAAAAAAAAACCGTCAAGCCATATTCATGCCTCTCGAGAAGAAAAACATTTATAGAAAGGGGAAATGAATTATGAAAATACTTGTGAAGTTATATATAAATAAACCAATTTGCTGTCTTTTTTGATGATAAGGATGTTAATTGTCGTACTACGCTTTTGCGCTAGTTTCAAGAACATTAGCTTTAAAGGTTTTTGTACTGAGCTTGATCCCTTCATCTCCAGTGGTCTCACTATTGGCGTCTTCATGATAATCTGTCCAATTTTTCTGTTCCAGGGTACCTTATTGAGGCAAGGGGAGAGGGGTGAAAAAGGCAATTGCGTACTCGGACCGCTTTCTAGGGATGCAGAACCTCTTCATTTTGAACAGTTCGTTGTCTCATAATCAATTACAAACACATCTTTCTGAACATTTTAATAGATATCCCTCATAGAGAAACAAGGCAAATTTCCAAGCTGCAGTCTTTTTAGGGGGATAAGGAGGCTGAAAATTTGCAATTACAATAGAAAAATTGAAAACATCTCGGAAATCAGAAATACTATAGCGAACACTATCAGTTTCAGTGGTGGTTCCTTCAGTTGTCTTGCCGGCTTCAAAATGGTGCTTTCACCTCAGGTCGCATTTAATTTGACAATAAAATCTAGTTTATCTTAAATTTCTAATTGAAAGTAAGTGGAACATTAACATAAGTTCACACGCGCTGGATTGGATATACACCGAACTGAAAAACGCCTAAAAACCGTACAAATTTATTGTCTATTTAAAAAAAAAACATCAGAAATTACTTTTTTGAATACCTATAATTAAAAACATAATGCAGGGGCATTCCCACTGACCCCCATAGGATTGTCCGGTTTTCGGTAACCATTTATCCGAACCCTTTCCGTATGTCCTGGATCCGCTGTACTCGTAGCTAATCGACTTCATCCCAAGAAGAAAGCCAGCAAGAAGCAGTAAATCCTCGCTTTTTCTAGCAATATTCTGACTACTCGAATTATCTTCCTTATCGATACAATTACATATTGATTTAATGATTATTAGATAATCTTATTATTGTTTAGCTGATGGAGCAGAAATCCTCAAAATCAACGAAATTTCGGTCATCTTGAGCCGCAAAAATGTTTTCCTTTTTAAAACAAAGAAAAAAGCTAACCCACAAGATCAAAAAATCCTGCAAACATCTGGTTCCACGAGTGTCACGAAAGAGAATCTGAAACAACATATGATTGGTTCAAGTCTTGTGAGTCAACCAATAAGGTTAAATCCTTTTTCTTTTGACCAATCAGCACTCACAGAGAGAGTTGTGTAAGCATGCAAGACTACCAGGTGATGTCGTAGGATACGTTCGATCCATTTTCTAAGAAAAAGCCACTCCTTCAACTACAACTTCAACTGCACATTTGCTGCATGCATCAAAAGATGTCCTTGTAAACTGCTTGATGATGGAACTCGCTGTAAAGTTTGCTTTTTTGCTGGTATTCCTTGTGAGCATACGTAGGACAGCATGTACTCATTTTCGAGGCGGCTCATTCACATATAAGCCCGTCAACTCAAGTAACCCTGCAAGCACGAAGGTAAGAGTTATATTTCCAAACATGTACACATCTCTTCGATGTGCACACGCCAAATATGAATTCATCATATCTGGAAATCGTCTTTACAAATTTAGTTTTTCCTTGCAAAACCTCCGACGTTAACAAAACGTTCGAATGTCACAGATGACTCCCTTGACAACGTTGAATTCTTGCAGGGTTAAAATCAAATTACTTTAGTTAGTACAGACTATATCTTCGCATTGCCTATCATCTTAACTTTGGGAATGAGACGATTTGCTTATATGGTGACTCAGTGGCGAATCATGACCCCTTCTTCTCGGAATTTAAATACTGGTCATGCTTGAAGACAGGTTTATGTCCTAGAAAAATTGTCCACCATTTGTGCAACATTACTCCCATTTTAAAATCTAAGGGAAAGAAGACAATTTGCTTGAGTCAGTTTGTACTTTCATCTTAAATTTGGAATGAAACGATCTGCCGGGAGATAAAATATAACTCGGAGACGATTTATGATTCCTTCTCGGAATTTAGATATTTTTCATGCTAAAGACGGGTACATGTCTGCGAAAAAAAAGTTAATTATGTCTGCAATATTACTCTCGTTTCCAAATCTGGGGAAAGAAAACAAATCACTCGAGTCAGTTTATACAGCAATTCTTCGGACCCTTTTTGTCTTACCTTTCGAATGAAACGCTCTGCCGAGTGATGAAGTATAACTCGGAGACGATTCATGATTCCTTCTCGGAATTTAAATATAGTTCCTTCCCGGAATCTAAATATTGTCATGCCATTGACTTATTACACGTATAGGCTACAGTGCGTACAGCGAACCATAAATGATAAACTGTCTGTAACATTTACTCACTTAAAGTATTTCCAAATCTAAGGGGAAAAACCTAATTGTTTGAGTCAATGTAAACAGTATTTCCTCGGAGTCTGTCATATCAACTTTGGAATGAAACGATCTGCCGAGTGGTGGGGGAATAACTCAGAGGTGATTCATGACTCCTTCTCAGAATTTGAATATTGTCATGCCGTTAACTTGAGACGTACAAGTTCATGTCAGCGAACAATAAATAATAAACTGTCTGTAACGTTACTCGCTTAGTGTATTTACAAATCTAAGGGGAGAACCCTGAATTATTTGAGCCAGTATAAACAGTATTTTTTCAGTGGCTGTCGTCTACACTTTGGAATGAAACAATTCGCCGGGTGATAAAGTAACTCGGAGGCGATTCGTGATTGCTTCTCGGAATCTAAACATTGTTTATGCTTGCAGAAACATTCATGTCAGCGAGCAATAATCAACTGTGTTTATCATAAATCAGTAACATTTCTCACTGCCTTACCAAATCTCACGGGAAGAAACCAAATTATTTGAGTCAGTTTATACAGCATTTCCTGACTATCTATCATCTTAACTTTGGGTTGAAACGATGTGGTGATAAAGTACGGGGCGAATCATGACCCCTTTTTTC